AAATTTTTCATTACTGTGCTATCACACTTTTCTCAAAACCTTTCTCTCCTCTTCATTTTTCTATTTCCCTGGCACAAGTGCACTTTCAAGGACCCATCTTAAACTTGATCCTTAGTGTTCTGGGACTGTCTCTTATATCTTATCATGTAATCCTGCTTTTCATTGCTCAGAGCTGTGCAATCCAGATTCCTCTCTTTAATCTGTATTTCATTTCCAATTTTCTCATCCTCACTATATCCATGCACATTCAAATGCCCTTCTTTTCTTTGCATGTATTTCCTAAGATAATAAAAGCAGTGAAGGTGCAGATTATCAGCTCTGCATCCCAGGGCTACTTGTGACATTCTAAGTATTTGTATTTTGTTCCACAGGCATACAGTGTAGTAGATGAAATGTTTCTTGCTGGTGAGATCCGGGAGACAAGTCAAACTAAGGTGCTGAAACAGCTTTTGATGCTAAACTCTCTAGAATAACCCATACCCAGGGTGATTAAGGTATGGCACCCCATATAACTCTTCATCTTTATGGAACTGTGAGCTTTTGTTCACTATGCCCAGCAGCTCTTGTTGTTGCCTCCATGTGGAACTAGTGCACAAGATACCCGGACCAGTGAACAAGTAGTTGTGGAGTTCAACTCTTTTGTCATTTGGTGTAGTGGATTCTGCGAGGATGTACATCTCATCAGAGTGTGAAATAGCTCTATAAAGCCATCAAAAGGTTGCATTTCAGATGTGTTCATTGTTTTACACAAAGTTTCCATCCTTTAGAATGGCCTGAAGACTAAATAGCACTTACGAGAATGTGTAAAAATGTATGTACATGTTTTACCATAATTGTTATTATTTAATTTATGTCACATCATGTACACAACTTATTTTCTCACATCTTCAGCTAAGTTAAATGTGTTCATTGATATGTATAACATTTTATTATAGAATCAAAGTATTGCATAAGAATTTATTTTATTTTTATTAGTTTTCTATTCCCCCCCGTACCTATAATGTAGGGATACATTCCATCTCTTATAGTCAGCAAAAGTTTAGCATTATTTTTAACTACAAAAGGTTTCAACATGAAAAAATTTTGAAATGTATTAATATTTTCAGCATTGCTGAATAAGAAATTTAGATTAATTTCTGTTCATGTGTATTTACCTCAGAATTGTTTATGACCTTCATATAAATTTGTTAAGCAGTAGCATCAGCTGCTTATGATGCAGTAGCAGTGTGACAGACACATTGTTTGTACAGAATGTTGTGATTATTTAGAATAAAAGTTGGTGTATGTAGTAGAAAAGTTGAGATACTGTATTAATATATAGATGGACTTCATTGCAGAATTATTGTATTACATATGGCAAAACTTCATACCTCAGAAAACTAAGACAGATGTAGTAAAGCCAAGATAGATGTTGGTAGCATCTGTGAACGGTTGTGTAACAGAGCTCAAGTATGTTTTTAAGGGATCACATCATCACCTGTGGTGCTGGGGTACCTTTTTCATGCTCTGTGTTTTGGGCTTGTTAAACTTATTAGTGTTTATAACACACTGGATATTTTTCAGTGACTGGCCTAATTTCAGTCTTTTAAAAAGATCATTTGTCAAATTATTTATGATAAAGTTTCTTTGAGGATTTATGAGATTATACATCAACATAAGTGCCATTAACTCAAATGAGGAAGCATTTACATTACTGTAATATGGAATCTACCTTTAGCTCCATCACACTCAGTTTTGCTGAAGTAAAACACTCGTACTTTTCACTTTATTACAGTTAACAAATATATGTCAAGTGGCTATATTTGTATGGTCTAATGTTATTAGACTTTACATGCAGACTCATAATTTTTCAGTAAACCTGTGTACTGTACTGTACTGCACTGTACTGTACTGCACTGCACTTGAACTAGGTTGATGTGAAAAGTGACTTGTACCATATCATGTAAACCAGTAATAAACATGATATTTTGGTAGTTTATTGTTGTCTGATATTGAATTAATTTATTTAGTGTTAATGATATTGGTTAAAACAGCTGTGAAGATGTACTAGTTTCTTTTTTTAGATTAACACCACATCAAAAATAGTTTTTTTTTGTTTTGTTTTTTTTAACATTATCTTGTACAATGATAAAGGTCTTACACATTTGAATGTGAAATATATTGTCAATGAAGTTATTTTCTTTGACTATTTTATATAGGAAAATTTAAATGAAATGATAAGTTTTATGAGACAAAAATAGTCCGTGATACAATGAGAAATATTGTTATATATTGTTATGAGACACTGTTATCGACCATCAGTGTTAACTCCGAGTGTATTATAAAATGCTACCACAAAGATACTATTGCCTTTTAAAGTGTATTGCATCACCTGTGAGAACAGTTCTCATTTCATCCAGAAAACATTTAGGGAACTCATCCAGGGTGTATGCTTATGAAGGACTTCCTGTAATTATTAGTTGTTGAGTGAAATGGAATATTATAAAAAGGTATGTGAATATTCTGCTATTCCCTCTCCTTACTATGAATGTCCCTAATAATAATGAACTTTCTAAGATTCATCTTTTGAACAGTGCAAAGTCAACACACAAGCCATGTCATAAAGAGCCCTTGTACAGTACCTTATTGTTTGAGTCCGCTGTTGTGTTGTGAGTGAACTACAGTGTAGTCTTGGGCAACATGAGGATATACAGTACAGTACAGTACTGTAAACTAAAATTAAAATAGTTTGCATAAATACATCCAAATAGAATACTGTACAACTACAATGGTCTAAAAAAAAATAGGGAAAAAAATGACTACTTTTGCTGCTTGTTGTACAGGCAACTTCTACAAAGTCCTGCTTTTATTTGCCTCTTAAACACACACAAGATGACATGTTATGTTCAAAAGAAGTCTTCAACAGTAATTATGTAATTGAGGAGGTTCTCTACATGTGAGCCGAGTGTAGTAACTGTTGGTTGGAACAAAATAAATAATGTTATCATCTCTGTATCATCTTGGTAAGGAAGAAATGAGCAAAATTTTTAACGTTGTTACAAAGACCTAACTTGTTATAATGACCCATACTGGTACATATACCTATATACTGTTACATGGAGCTTATTACTTGAACACTTTAGTCTGGCAGGATTATTCATGAAAAGTGTTCAATGAAGGAAGACTTCAGTAAAGTACAGTTCAAAAGGTAATTTAAGTAGGTATATCATGCTTGAGAATGGATCAAACTGTAAAGATTATTGATGGATGCAAATCCAACAGAGAACTGACCAATGACTAATAAACTGATGAGGTACAAAGAAGATGAGTTAGCAAGAGTGACAACATTACCAGTAAACATAGTGAAGTCTTCCATCACACCACAGCAGTACATGGAATAACCTGCCAGCAAATGTTTTAACATCACCAAGTGTGAGCCTCCTTAATTCCAAATTTGCCCAATATAGGTACAATTGGCAAAGAGGATAAGTTAAGGTAACAGTAAAAGATAAAATACAAAGCATCATAGGCTAATGTAAACAATGATTGTAGAATACAGTACTGTACTGTTATGTAAGTTATGAACTGCATATGGACACATTGGTTTGACACCATGCAGAATACTCATGTAAGTACTTAAGATCATAATGGTAAATCCTCACACCAAGTTTGGTTAACTGTTCTTTATTTGAGTTATGTATGTAAGTCATGGAAGCATAGACAACATGATGAAACATGAAGGCTATACAGTATACAAGAGAATAGGAGAATAACATTGTTAAATTTGGTTAATTTGACTCACCTTCACAGTGAAGAGTTTTGAGAAATGTGGTGACAATGGGTAAGGACAGCACCAAGGTTAAGTGAATGGTGAACTAGTTTAGTACAGTATTACAGTATATACATTGTTAACACCATACATGCCCAGTCCTTGCCAACAGTGTGTGACAGAGAAATGACTGACTTGCCGCTAGAGAACCACACGGTGAAAAAAGAAAATCGAGTAATAAGTTGAGGTTAATCCACCTTTCCCTAATTTCCTGTGACAACATTCTGACCAGAGATCACTGACACACTGTCCAGGACAAAAGTGGTGACTGAAATATTGTCCAGGACAATGGCGTGACTGTTTGTTCAGGATTAAGGTGGTAACTGAAATATTGTCCAGGATAAAATAATGTAGTGACGAAGGTATTATGCAGGAAAGTAATGGTGACGTATTGTCCAATACAGCGCTGGTGGTAGATTTATTGTCAAGCCAACCTTACATACTTACACCCCATCTTGTGGGCATGGAGGTGTGCTGGGGTGGATTGGCATGTATTGTTATGGAGTGCTGGGATGGACTGGTGGTGGAATGGGATGTGCTAGTGCAGGGGTACTCAATTACTATTTGTGAAGGTCCAGTCACACAAATTTTCTAGATGGCCAAGATCCAGATGAGACTTCATTTAATATGAGGCAATACCAAATAAATGAAAAGTACACATTTCAGTTTATTTCCATCTACATTCATTTATAATCTCAAAACCTGTTGACAGTGTAAATGAATTAAAGAAGTGAACAGGAGCTCATGGATCAAAAGAAGCCATAAAAGTAACCATCCATCCATCTTTCTGAAGAGGCAACCTGGAAGGGGGGGGACAAAAGGAAAAGCTAATTATCTGGAACAATAAAACACTGCAGGTAATGTGTGTATTTTATGGTCATAAGTTATCATACATTCTACTCTTGTTGAAGAAGGAGGAACGATGAATAGAAAGAAATAAACTAAAGCTTTGTAGCACACACAAAATATTGCATTTATAGAATGTACAGTCTGGTTCAATAGTAATTATTCATCCCTCTTTGTTGAATAGGAAAAGGGGGATGATTAGTTTGACCCTGAGTGTACATGTAATTGTGACTGTGGGCCTTTAATTGAGTGATTAATTATTAGTGTGAAAAGTGACACTTTGTGCTTCTTGCCAATTCCCAGAACTTTGGTACAAATGATGTGATAGCTAGTCTAAGACATTGATAAAGATGTTCATTGGTGATGCTGGAGCAGTATTTGTTCTTCACTAAATTCATGGCGGAGAAAGCAGACACACTGGTAAAGTGGAGCCAAACATTGCGAGGATATGCAAAGCGACTTTGTGAAGATGAAGGAAACTAGCTTGAGACACCTATGTCCAGAATGTGATGGAATCACAGTTATCAGCCTCTTCTTTCAAGGCCACATTTTCTTGGAGATCAATTAGTTCCATTTGGACTGATGCTGTACATACCCATTTAAATGTCTGTTTTGCCCTGAAAACTCGAAGGCATTTGTGACCAAGAAGGGGTCCTGAGTGAAGAGCAGTAGCTCTCTTCCAAAAGAGATATCATCAATACGATCCATGAAATCGTCAATAAGTTTCTCAATGAACTGAACATGCATATGGTTATGATATTTCCTTCCTTTGGTCTGCCCCAAATGTTTGGGGAAGTAGAGAAGTTCGCCCTGGAGATTGTGCTTGAAAAGTTCCAGCTTCTTCTGATAAGCTCAAACAGTTGTTTCCTTCTTGCAGCTTGACATTGAGAGCATTGAGATGAGATGTAATATCTGCTAAAAATGCTAAAATTTTCATTCTCTTTTCATTCTGCAAAAACTCTGATAACTGGTTTGCCTTGGCGCTGGTTTGGTCTTTGATGAGATGCTGGGGTCCACACCAAAGCTACCCGTTGTCTGCCAATTAAATACCCCTGTGCTAGGGTGTAGTGGGTTTGGATTGGGGTATACTGAGGGTTGCCTGGGGATGCTAGGGTGTATTCTAGTGCTCTGAGGGTGTGCTGTGTTGGGGTGGAGGTGTTTTAGGGTGTGGCTGTGCTGGGATGGACCAGGGTGAGTTGTGGGTGTGTGCGGGCTGTTCTTGGGTGTGCCAAAGTGTAAAGTACTGGGATGTGCTAGGGTGTTGCTGGGAGTGAGCTGGAATATGCTGGGATGGACTTAGGGTGCTGAAAGGTGTGCTTGGACACTGGACAGTGTCATCTAGGTGGGACGTGCAGTTTCAAAACAATTATTAAAAATTCGAAATTACCTCACTGTTTTTTATGACTGTTAATTACATTATTTCTAACCTACAAATAAATTAATAGAAAAATATACTGTATTTTGAATTACAGTACACTAGTTCATCAACTACACACACACACACACACCTTGTATTACTCATTTGCCACTAGGGGAGAGCTGGGATATTTCAGATAGAGGTATGGTTCGGACAGTGGCATTCTTAAGAAAGGTTGAGGACCTACAGGCTTAAAATTCACTGAAACAAATCACTTTTGCAAAGCAGAGAACACAGAGTGTGACATCCAAAATATTGAAGCTTGTTTAACAACATCTGGTTAAGTTTGAGGCCAAATTTAATACATACAGGTATTATCTATCTGAAGATGATACTCGGATTGGATTTTTGTGGGTAATGGATTCGTTCATTCACTTGGGTAGTGAAACAAATATACTGTCACTTTCAGTGTCAGGGGAGGATAGCCTCATTGAATTAGCTAGCAATCCGACACTGAAAGATTTAAGGTGTCTTTTGTAGATGCACGGAATGACTAATGCATCAGCTTTCTCGGATTGTCATTACAAAATACTGTACGACCATACCGCGTCTTGAGAATAACTTGTACAACACACTCTTTAGAAAACAATATAATTAGGAGGACTGGTATTTGGACACAATGCAGAAAGAAATAGTAAATAAAATATATAGAAAATTATGGAAATAAAGACAAAAAAGGAAAAACTGTCAATCAGTCAACAATAAATAAGAATAACAAAAAATCGGGCCCATTGTGAAGGTGATTTCTCCCAAATTCTCTAAAACCACACGTAACAACCAGAGCAGCTGTTCCACTATATATGTTGTCTCTCTCTTCTCACCTGCTAGGTGATCGCATATTTATACACGAAATATGATGAATTTCATGCTCGTTTAAGTCTTAATTTTTGCACTTACAGAACTGTAATAAACTTGCTCACCCTTATTTAGAGTATCTTATGAGTAATGATATTAATGTTTCAATCATATTTGAGTAATTATCAATATTTGTACACCAAAGTCACCAACGGCTAATGAAATCGGACAGCACCCACTTATAAATGGGCGGAGCCAAAACAGGTTTCAACTAAGCAATCCTTTTCAATTCTTTCACGCCATACGCTTTGTTTTAAGTCCTATCCAATATACTACCATATATATAATTATTTTTATTATTATATCACAGTTTTTTATTCCCTTACACGCCTCCAACTCTTCAATATTAATCAAAATACTCTCCATAAGCGGCCATGATCCGCGTATTTACCCACTGTTTCAGTGGGGCTCGCTGATTGGCTGTTAGCTATTAAGGCCACACCTAATGCCTCATTAAGGCATTTGCTTTTCCCTCTCAAGGTGTCATGCGCAGAACTCAGCAGAAGCAGCTGCGCAGACAGAATAGCTACAGCGTTAGCTATATCCGTGCATCTACAATAAACGTCTTTTCTCA